CACACTCCATGGCCTCTGCATCAGCTCCTGCCTCCAGGTTCCCTGCCCTGCTTGAGTTCCTATCCTGACATGCTTTGGTGTTGAACAACAATTTGGGAGTGTAAGCCGAATAAACCCTTTCCTTCCCAACTTGCTTTTGGTCGTAGTGTTTCATTACAGCAATAGCAACCCTAACTGAGACACCCGTGTGTCTTGTCTTTTCAGATTCTCTCCTTACAGGAAGCAGGGTGGCTGTGTCTAAACAACCCCTCATGAGCTGACCCTGAATTCTTTTTTTCTACTAGCTACCCCAGGGCCCTCAGCTTCATAATTAATTTGTCGGTCAGAAAGGTTTTGCATACAAAGCGAGTCTTGTGAATTCTAGTGTGAAATCCATATCTGCTACAGAATTATAATGAGCTGGGGCCTCATTTTTCTGCCCAGCACCTCTGAAGACACAGAGGTGGATCACCTTTTTGAACGTTCACCGTGTCAGCAAACCTCCTTCTAGGATGCGGATTCCTGACAGACACTCCGGTTAAAAATTCAGATCTAAGGCGGTGTTTCTTTTCCTCTCTGCTTCCTTTCTTTGTCTGATCCAAAAGCAGCTACAGCGTTAATTGGCAAGCTTGCTTTTCTGGTTTCAATTTCTGCTTCTTGTTGGAAACATGGAGATTTCCTTTCTGGACAGCTTGGCTGTGCGTTTAAAATGATGTCTGTTATATTTCATCAAGTATTATCGAGAGAGCCTTTGCAGATCGTGGGGCTGATAGCCGGAACCAGGAATCCCTCCCCATCCTCGTTCTGTCATTTGCAGTCTCCTCTCAGGGGTTTGTCTGGCACACCCCCTGCATCTTGTTACTTTAAGAACAGCACCATTATATCCAAGCCATGACTTCTGTGGAATGTAACCTGTTTTTCTGCCTCCTTCCACATCCTGAGATGCTCTCAGCCTCGTGAAAGTGGAATTTACTCTCTTCTGAGTCTCAAGTCTGCCTTCCCTCTGCCCTCCATACTGGATAAGTCACCCAGACCTCCATACGCCATGAACACACACATTCTTGCTGGTTCTTTTTCTTCATTCTTTGAGAATTTCATACATGCACACAATGTCCTTTGACCATGTTCTTCCACTCCTCCCCATAACTCCTCTAGGATCCAACCGTGCTCCCTAAACCCTCCTCCCAGCTTCATGGCCTCTGCTTTGCTCTCATTGCTTACCACCCACCGAGTCAGGTTTGTGCTGCCCATATATGCATGAATACAGAGCTGTCTCCTGAGGCATGGACCGCCTACTGGGGACCGCACCCTTAAAGAAAGCAGTCTCTCCTTCACTTAGCATCTGTCAGTAGCTCTTCAGCCAGGGATGGATGCTGGGCTGTTGTCTGGTTGATTGCTTTTAACTTTTATACTGGTAATGAGCTTTGAAAGACTCTTTCCCTGAATCCTGGGAGCAAGACACAGTCTTAACATTTACAGTGAGGAGGCAAGAAGGCCAAGAGACCAGAGTAGAATAATGAATGCCAGGAAAGGAGAGGAGCAAGGAGCTTCATCAGACTCACCATTCCCAGTTTTATCTTTTACCCAAACATTTATCTTTCTTAAATTTTTTATCAGCACCCAAATGCCAGGGGTGAGATGCTTCGGTTGTTTGGTCAAATATACGGGTGCTCATTTGTTTCTCATCTTTCGTCTCATCCTTAGGTCGACATTCATTGGTGTGAAACTCAGAGGCATGGAGGGGTTAATGATGTCACAGAAAACCTCACTGATTCTTCTCACATATAAGCTTCTAAGTGGAATTATTAGCTCTATTAAAGCAACAGCTTTGATCTTCAGTTGTTGTTATGAATTGAAACAAGATCACTTACTGATGCTTCTTAACGCTTTCTGTTTCTGCCATTAACCTGCAGCTGTTAATAAGCTGCTTTCATCTTTTAGGAAGGAATCCGATGTCGCCCTCACAGCTCAGTCATAAAGCTCCCAGGGCCCATGCTGGCTAGTAAGATTCCTCTAGGCGTGTAAATCCAACTATTGAAAAATCATATCCGAAAAGTATTCTGTTCGTTTTCAAAGGATGCTTGTGTATTGCCGGGGTCCTAGGGCATCCTTGGGATACTGATGGACCATCTTACCTGGAACCTAGTGTGTGTGGGTGATGTTTAATAAAAGTATAAAAGATTGTGCCCAAGACCTCTTGAATATAAATACAAAACCCTTCGTAACAAAGAGTTTAAGCGAGTATCTTTTCAATTCAGATTGGCATCGATTCCAAGTTTTTCCTCATATTTCAGACTTAGCCCAGGTTCACATTTTCTCTCTTTGGTAGCCAGCATTTAAAGGCACGTTATCAGCCGTAAAATGTTTATCATCCTCTGAATGATCCCTCAGAAAGTAAGTGAATAAAGATGTCCCCTATGGCCCGAATGCACTTTCAAACTTCTAACAGAATTAAATAGCACAAGCGATTTGGCTTTTCTTTGCTAAGCAACTGAGCTGCAGTTTATGGTCATTGCCTTGCTGTATCTAGAATACATGTCCTCCTTTATCGTTCTAAAGTCATTACATTAAAAAAAATTATCTTTGTTTATCATCTGGCCTCACCTTCACTGAGCACACTGTCTTGAGGTATAAACTCCTGGAAAGCTGACACTTGGGAAATCGCAAAGGCCTCAGGGACTCCATGTTAGGCACATGGCAGAGGCCGAATATGTATCTTACAGCATCCCACTGAGTAGGACTCAGCCTGCCTCATCATGCCATTGGCCATGGCAAACAAGTGGCACACTAGTGCAGCATCTGTGCCCCAAGGAAGTGACTGGCCCACAGCTGGCTGCCAAGAGTCATGCGTGAAGAAATAAGTGTTGCCTGACAAGCATAAAGAAAATCAAAGGCCTTAATCCAGATTGGGGGATACTGAAGATTCTAAAAATGAGTTCTTTACATTTATATATCTTAAAAACATGTATTCAGTGGTTGTTATTCTATAAGACAGCTGGTTTGCGGTGTTTTTTTTTTTTTCCATTAAGAAAATTGGTGGAGAGTTATCAGGAGGTCAAGGGTCAGAGCCCCCACCAAGTGCTGCCAAATTATGAAACACTGTTTTTATGTTCTCAAGATGCTCTGTGGAGTAAGGAAGATTCTAGAGACAGATGCTCCTACCTTGGAGCGACTAGAGCCAGGGACTAAAGGAAACTCTTTAGGTACAAGGGATTCCTATGAATCAGGGCTGTCTGGGTTTGTGCACATGAACTTCAGTCAGTGGAGAGTGCCAGCCACATCAAAGGGCCGGGGACTGTGATGACGCAGGTTTCAAAGCGTGTGAATGATTCAAGTTGAGCTGTAAAACAAGAGGAGCCTCCGTAAGTCGACCTTCCACCCAGTCTATGTCCTGTGCAGGAGCGGTCGGATCAGCAGGCCAGGTGTGATGGTTTTTCAATAATGGGATGATGCTCTAAGCACACCACTGTGGGTGCCTTCCTGGAACTGTTAAGAAAGATGTCATCTAAACACCTGCTAAGTCCACATCTACTGACAAAGACCTGAGTTTTCCCCAAACTGTGGTCTGGGAGGGACCTAAGTGGACACTTCACTCAGCTCTTGGAAGTACCTAGGAGTGCTTAGGTAGAAACCACTTCTGAGCGTTGCATGGTGCATGATCATAGGGAAGGTCGATTAGAGTCTTCTACAGATATGTCACTTATGTTGAATTGTCCATCAGTCTCCTAGAGATATTATGAATATTTCTGGGGAAGATGATGGAATCCCAGTTTTTCTCTAATAGATTATTCTTTTTAGAATTAAAAGGGACCTCAGTGGACGTTTTGGTTACCGACGACTTAAGAATCTTTGCCGAAAGATGGGCTAAATACTCTGTACGGTGGCAGCTCTGTGTAGTGTCCATAGCTAGCCCACACACATCATCTTAACTCACTAGTCTGAAAGGAAGAAAAGCAAAGAGAGAAAGCAGCATTGTGGGGAATGTGTAAGTCCTGGAATCTAGTAGCCAAGTTCAGACCTGACATCTTCTGCCAACAGCTGGGCTATTCGGCCTGTCTTCCTCACCACTCAGCCATCTGAACCCATCACAATGTCTAATGAAGACTCAATTAGGCCATTTCCATTCTCTTACTCGTTATTAATATCAAAACAAAATACAGACTGAGTGGATGTTAGATACCCCTTGACAGCTGTTGTCTAAGAGACTGACCACACAACCTACTGGTTTGTTCTGTTTTATTGAGATGGCCCTGGGGAGCGTACGTATCAATCTGTCATCAGATATAGGCAAATACCTGGCACATAAGGAAAGGCTGGGAGGTATTGGGCAAAACGGATCCATGCACTCATTGCATGGCGTAGCCATATGCAGAAAAAAGCTTTTTAACTCTAACCACGTGGGCAGAGGTTCTGAAAATACTGGAGCCTCAAATTATAATCACTGTTTTAAATTTCACTGAATGTAAGTGAGCAACTAGAAACTGTGTCTAGGCTAAATATGGCTCATTGAAGCTTTTTTAAAATATGAGTATTAAAATCAACAGACTAAAGCTATCAAAGCTACCAAGGCCTAGTATTGAATTGAGTCAAGCATGACCAAAGCTTATTTCTCATTTTTATTTTAAAGATGTAAAATAACCTCTGACCTCTCCAAGCATTTACACATGTACAACTGCACGTGCATGCGCATGCACACACACACACATCTGTAACAATCATTAGTTCCTTAAATAGCAAAAGTCTTAACTCTGATTCCTTTCTGATCAAGTATTAAAATCATTTGACCAATAAGCTCAATATTAAAGTGCTAAATATTGTTTTTAAAAACAAATAATAAAAGCAACCACAGGGCAGGGAACCCTGACTGCCCCTCAGACTGGAGAGGGAGGGGGAGAGGAGTGGGGGGAGGGGGAGAGGAGAGGGAGGAGGGGGGAAAAGGGAGCCGGGGAGGGAAATGGGAGGCGGGGAGGAGGCGGAAATTTTTTTTCAATAAAAATTATATTAAATATGTCAAAAAAAAGCGAAGACGAAATGCCTTTTCTCAATTCTACACTGAGTTTTCTTTTTCCTCCATCCCATAGTTTCACCCTTGCTGGTCCTGACACCATCATATGCTTAGCCAATGGCAAGTGGAATTCAAGTAACCCCCAGTGCCTGGCTGTCTCCTGCGATGAGCCCCCCACTGTGGACCACGCCTCTCCAGAGACTGCTCACCGGCTCTTCGGAGACACTGCTTTCTACTACTGCGCCGATGGTTATAGCCTGGCAGACAATTCCCAGCTCATCTGCAATGCCCAGGGGAAGTGGGTTCCCCCCGAGGGCCAGGCTGTGCCCCGCTGTATAGCCCACTTCTGTGAAAACCCCCCGTCTGTTTCCTACAGCATCTTGGAATCCGTGAGCAAAGCCAAATTTGCAGCTGGCTCAGTAGTGAGCTTTAAGTGCCTGGAGGGTTTTGTGCTGAACACCTCAGCCAAGATCGAATGCCTGAGAGGCGGAGAGTGGCGCCCTTCTCCCTTGTCTATCCAGTGCATCCCGGTGCGCTGCGGAGAGCCTCCGAGCATCGTGAATGGATACGCGAGCGGGGCGAACTACAGTTTTGGGGCCGTGGTGGCCTATAGCTGCCACAAGGGGTTCTATATCAAAGGGGAAAAGAAGAGCACCTGTGAGGCCACCGGACAGTGGAGTAGACCCATGCCCACCTGCCACCCTGTATCCTGTAGTGAACCACCTAAGGTTGAGAACGGCTTTCTGGAGGTAAGAGACTTAACTACCAAATGATCAATAACTTTCGTCACTCATAGGGCCGTCTACAGTGGCTAACCCAGTATTTACAAGTACAGGCAGTGAACATTTTTTTAAATTTATTTATTCTTATTTTATATACATCAGTGGTTTTGCCATGAGTGTTGGGGTCCCCTGGAATTGGAGTTATAGAGAGTTGTTAGCTGCCATGCGGTTGCTGGGAATTGAACCCAAGTCCTCTGGAAGAGCAGTCAGTGTGCTCTTAACCACTGGGCCATCTCTCCAGCCCCGGCAGTCAACAGTTTGATTGCTGAAACAGAAGTAACTAAAATCTACACATGGCATGTGTTGAATAAAAATGAACCAAGGTAATTGTGAAACATTAACAATATACATATATATCTTTTAATTATTTATTTTATGTGCACACATGTTTGCCTGCATATATGACTGTGCATCATGTGTGTCCCTGGTATCTAAGGAAACCAGAAAAGGGTAACAGATTCCATGGGACTAGAGTTACAGACAGCTATGAGTCTCCATGTGAGTCCTGAGAATCCAATCCTAGTTCCCTGGAAGGGCAGACAGTGCTCTTAAGCACTGAGCCTTTTCTCCAGCCTCCTTAATATACATCTTTCTGCATGATAATAACCTACAGATATCCCAAGGCCCTTTGTAGCCGTATCTTAAACATGAAGTTAGAGTAAGACAACTGCAATAAAATTTTGCTTTTATATAATTTGTCACCTACATGAAACTCAGAGATATTCATTGTCACTCTTGATTTATAAATGGAATGTGAGGTGCTGTTTTTACATTGCCCTTTTGAGATACCCAGAGGTGATTTCACCGTGATGAACAAATTGTTCAGCATGATACAAATATGACCTGCTTCCACGCTAACGTGTCTTCCCAGTAAGTGTGTCAGGAAGATAAGAGCAAGGGCTGTAGCGGTATCTGGGGGGGGGGGGGGGGGAATGTGTGTTCTGCTCGAGGAGTGTGTGAGCTTGGTCTCCAAAGCCCAGCATAAGAAAAGCCAGGCACTGAGCTGCACACCTGTAACCCCAGCGCTGGCCAGGCAGAGATGGGGGTCTCCAGGGCTCACTGGCTTGCCTGGCAAGCAGTAGTTAAAGACTGTCTCAAAGAATAAAGAAAGAAAAGCAAGGTGGATGGTGTTGAAGAAACAACACCTGAGGTTGACTCCTGGAATCTGTACACATGCGCCCACATAAACCAAAAGAGGAGAACAAGAGGGGGAGGGGAAGATAGTCTAGTCTTCCAAATCAAAGGCCATGGTGCCATTTTAAATAGCCAAAATTTCCGGGCGATGGTGGAGTACGCCTTTAATCCCAGCACTAGGGAGGCAGAGGCAGGCAGATCTCTGTGAGTTCAAGACCAGCCTGGTCTATAGAGCTAGTTCCAGGACAGGCTCCAAAGCCACAGAGAAACCCTATCTCGAAAAACCAAAATAAATAAATAAATAGCCAAAATTTTGAGTGAAGCAGTTTTAAAGCATCTATGTATACTTTTTATTTTTATCTTACCAAGTCCTCTATATATTCTGCTGCTATTGCTCTTCAACTCATCAACCTGTATAGATAGATCCCTGATCTTCTCTCCTTTGGGTCCCATAAATATTTCTCCAGAGGAAATGACCTCACTAGATCTTCCACCTTCTACTTCCACATTTTGTTCCCTAGGAAACGTAGGGCAGACCTGTCGCAAACAGCATAAATCTTTACTCACGGACATCCTGATGAATTCCTTGAGGATGTGGGCTTTTGAGTTCTGCTTGGCTACTAATGTACTCCATCTGTTGGCTTGCCTGTTCCATGGGTTGTACTGACTTTTTCTCTCCGTGTTGTTCAGCATGCCACGGGCAGGACCTTTGAGAGCGAAGCCAGGTTCCAGTGCAATCCAGGCTATAAGGCAGCTGGGAGTCCTGTGTTTGTCTGTCAAGCCAATCGCCACTGGCACAGTGAGGCCCCTCTGTCCTGCACCCCTCTCAACTGTGGGAAACCCCCTCCCATCCAGAATGGCTTCATGAAAGGAGAAAGCTTTGACTTGGGGTCCAAGGTTCAGTTCTTCTGTAATGAGGGATATGAGCTTGTTGGGGATAACTCTTGGACTTGCCAGAAATCTGGCAAATGGAGTAAGAAGCCAAACCCAAAATGTGTCCCCACCAAGTGCCCGGAGCCTCCCCTCTTGGAAAACCAGCTCGTATTAAAGGAATTAACTTCCGAGGTGGGCGTGATGACCATTTCCTGTAAAGAGGGGCATGCCTTGCAAGGCCCTTCCGTCCTGAAGTGCATGCCATCCGGGCAATGGAATGGTTCCTTTCCCGTGTGTAAGATGGTCCTTTGCCCCTCGCCTCCCTTGATTCCCTTCAGCCTCCCTGCTTCTGGCGTTCTTCACTTTGGAAGTGCTGTCAAGTACTCGTGTGTCGATGGGTTTTTCTTAAGAGGTGATCCAACCATCCTCTGCCAGGCTGACGGCACCTGGAGTTCTCCGTTGCCCGAATGTGTCCCGGTAGAATGCCCCCAGCCTGAGGAGCTCCTCAACGGGATCATCCACGTGCAAGGGCTTGCCTATCTCAGCACCACGTTCTACACCTGCAAACCAGGCTTCGAGTTAGTGGGCAATGCCACCACCCTCTGTGGGGAAAACGGCCAGTGGCTTGGAGGAAAACCAGTGTGCAAACCCGTTGAATGCCCGGAGCCCAAAGAGATTTTAAATGGCCAGTTCTCTTACAAAAGCTTCCAGTATGGACAAACCATCACATACTTTTGTGACCGAGGCTTCCGGCTCGAAGGTCCCAAAGCCCTGACCTGCTTAGAGACAGGGGACTGGGATATGGATGCCCCCTCTTGCCTTGCCATCCACTGTAGTGACCCACAGCCCATCGAAAATGGTTTCGTAGAAGGTGCGGATTACAGATATGGCGCCATGATTATCTATAGCTGCTTCCCTGGCTTTCAGGTGGCTGGTCACGCCATGCAGACCTGTGAAGAGTCAGGATGGTCCAGCTCCAGCCCGACGTGTGTACCCATAGACTGTGGTCTCCCTCCTCACATAGACTTTGGAGACTGTACGAAAGTCAAAGACGGCCAGGAATATTTCGATCAAGAAGATGACATGATGGAAGTCCCGTATCTGACTCCCCGCCCTCAGCAGTTGAAAACAACAGCTAAAACCCCTGCTGCGCATGCGTCCCACTTTCTATACGGCACCAAGGTTTCCTACAGCTGCGACCCCGGCTATGAGCTGCTGGGAAACCCCGTGCTGATCTGCCAGGAAGATGGAACGTGGAATGGGAGTGCTCCCTCTTGCATTTCGATCGAGTGTGATTTGCCCGTTGCTCCCGAAAACGGCTTTTTGCATTTCACACAGACGACCATGGGCAGCGCTGTGCAATATAGCTGCAAGCCGGGGCACGTTTTAGAAGGCTCCCACTTAAGGCTTTGTCTGCAGAATAAGAAGTGGAGCGGTGCCGCACCGCGCTGTGAAGCTGTTTCGTGCAGCAAGCCAAACCCAGTCAGGAACGGACTCGTCAAAGGAAGCGACTACTCATACCTGGCTGTGTTACGTTATGAGTGTGACCCTGGATATGTGCTCAATGGAACTGAGACCAGAATATGCCGGGAAAACAAAGCCTGGGATGGGCACGAGCCCACGTGTGTTCCTGTGGATTGTGGATCACCCCCAGTCCCCAACAATGGCCAAGTGAAGGGAGAGTTCACGTTCCAAAAGGAGGTCACGTACTCTTGCAGTGAAGGGTTCATCCTTGAAGGAGCCAGGAGCCGTGTCTGTCTCACCAATGGGAGTTGGAGTGGTTCCATTCCCAGCTGCACGCCTGTCAGATGTACTGCCCCACCGCAGGTGGCAAATGGGGTGACCGATGGCGTAGACTATGGGTACAAGAAGGAAGTAGCATTCCGCTGTCTAGAGGGCTATGTGTTACACGGGGCTCCTAAACTTACCTGCCAGGCAGATGGGACTTGGGATGCAGAGGTTCCCGTCTGTAAACCAGCGACCTGTGGTCCTCCCGACGATCTTCCCCAGGGCTTCCCTAATGGCTTTTCCTTTTATCACGGAGGTCACATACAGTAACAGTGCTTTCCTGGTTTTAAGCTCCATGGAAACCCATCAAGAAGATGCCTCGCCAATGGTTCCTGGAGAGGCAGCTCACCTTCCTGCCTACCCTGCAGGTGTTCCACGCCCCTCATTCAGCACGGAAAGGTCAATGCAACCGATGTGGCCTGTGGAAAGACAGTCCAGATTGAGTGCTTCCGAGGCTTCAAGCTCCTTGGACTTTCTGAAGTCACCTGTGACACCAATGGCCAGTGGTCTGGCTTGCCACTCTGTGAGCATGCGGACTGCGGTTCTCTCCCGGACATACCCAATGCAGTCGTCAGCGAGAGTAGCCCTTTGGAGGACAACGTGGTGACCTACAGCTGCAGGTCTGGCTACATCATGCAAGGCAGTTCAAATCTAATCTGTACAGAGAAAGGGACATGGAGCCAGCCTTACCCAGCCTGTGAGCCCCTGTCCTGTGGACCCCCACCGCCTGTTGCTAACGCAGTGGCAACAGGAGAGACATACACCTATGAAAGCAAAGTGAAACTCAGGTAAGACCGTGGGTGGCTATAAAATGTACAAGGAGTGTAGGCAGGATTATATAATGAAATGAGGTGTCAACATGGAGCTGTTTGGGAGAGAACCTCCGTCCCTGGACCTCCCTCCAAAGCCCAAAGCTTTTAACATTTGACTTGATTTACTTGGGGTCATGTGGAAATCCATTTACTGTGAAAATAAATGTATGCCTTTTCCAGACTATGGTTTCTAACACAATCCTCCCGGCGTTCATGAAATCACAAGGTCCCCTAACTAGCTTCATTCATTTTTTAATCTATGAGCAATTTGAATTAAAGAGACTACCCAGCCTGTACTACTTTAAACTAAGTATATGTTGCTCCAATAATGGAAACTTTCCTGTCTGGATAGGATTATCAAATATTCAAATGAAGGGTGTAAAAATTTGGAATGAATCTGTGAATTTTTATTGGAATAAGTAAGCATCACATTCAAATCTCAACTGTCTTGAAGCTTTGTTTACCATCTTGGTGAACCGTGGGCTATCTTCCAGGCATTTACACCTCAGATCTGATCGATAATTTAGCCCCTCTTCTGGGACGATCTGCTGTGAACATTTTAGCCTACCTTCCTGTTCCCTAACTGTAGTAAAAACTAGACTCTGTGGAAGGCTGGTGTGTGGGGAAGCCGGACCGTGGCAGAGGCCTGTGCACGGAACGGAAGAACAAAGGGCCACACCTGGACTTTGAAGTACATTTTAAGACTTCCGTGTGGACGTCGATGCATTAGGCATTTTGAGAGCCACAGTGTCACCTGCGTGTCGTTATTCCCCTGGGTTTTTTCCCTTGGTGTGTGATGATGACACCGAGTAGTAGATCTTTACTTAGTTCCTACTCATCGGGTTGTTCCAATTGTACAGAACTTCTGTCTCCTACCTCGCCTGGTAATATTCAGAACTTAAAATGTGTTCTCCAATGATTACTATGAAGTGATTAAATGGTTTGATTTAAAAGGAAGCATGTGATAGTGGTAGGCACATGGGGTCTAGAACACTCCCTCTAGAGTACCTAGTCTTACCATATCCCACACAAACTATGAAGTTATGCGGCTTCAAGAAAGGTACCTAATCCCTCTGGTGCCAACCTCATCAATGCCAAATGGCAATGAGGTCCTAATGGCACCTGCTAGTGGCGTGGACATGAGCACTGGATGGCTTGGTATGTGTAAAGCACATGGAGGGAGGGGTCACCAGAAATTAATCATTGTACAGAGCCATTTGCTGCATAAGTATGCACACTTTTAAGTCACAGGGGCTTTAGAGCCGATTTGACTTGAGTTTAAACTTGGCGATAGCTGTGGCAATGCTTAATGCTCAAGCTTAGAAGGACCTAGTCCAGGACCTTATACGGTGCTTGTTGCACAGTAAACCGTAAACACTGTGTTATATTCCTACCAGTACCTAAGTATAGCGGAAATGGGACTTCTCTATAGTTTCTTGAACTGGTGACTGTTTTAGAATGAACGGACAAATAAAAGAAACTAACTTCAGCCACATCTAAGACAACTTTGCTCTCAGCTCATCTTGAATGTGGATCACTAAGAATTAATCTGGGTGTTGTGTTACATTAATGTTTTTGTGTCGTGATGGTATCCATCTGGCCTTTGAGCCAGTTTTAAGGTTTCTCATAAAATGTCTCCTGAGCCTTGCGACAACGCCTTCAATCTGAGCATACGTCGGGCCCAGCGTGCTACCTTCTGCAGGTTCATTTTCTCGTCTGCATTGCAGGTGTCTGGAAGGGTACGTGATAGATACTGATACAGATACGTTCACCTGCGAGCAAGACGGCCATTGGGTCCCTGAAAGAATCTCCTGCAGTCCTAGAAAATGCCCCGTGCCATCAAACACAACACGCATGCGTGTTCACGGAGACGACTTCCGGGTGAATAAACAAGTTTCTATATCCTGCGCAGAAGGGTTTACCACTGAAGGAGCGGACTCGTCAACGTGCCAGGTAAGATACTGCCTCTGAGTGGGGCCTGTAAGTCTGACTGTGACGGTTATAGCTATGAACAAGGGCACTTCGTGCTGGCCAAGAAAGAAAAACAAATGCGCAAGTTTCATTCGCACCCGAAGGGTTGAGAAGTTTCTTAATAGAAGGTAGGTAGAGCTGGGGCGATGTCTCGGTGGTTAAGAGCACAGACTGTTCCTCCGGAGGACCTGGGTTTGGTTCCCAACACCCACTAGGTAGCTTGCAACTGTCTGAAACTATAGATCAGGGGATCTGATGCCCATGTGCACAGACGCTCGTACAGGCAAAACACTCACACGTACAAAATAAAATTTTTAACAAAAAGGAAAAAAATACAACACGTTTTTTTCCCCCTAATATCTCCAGCTTTGAACTTAAAAGAGCCGATGTTAGGGAAAATATTAAAAACAAACAAACAGAAAAACACCTATAATGAGATATCCATTGAAATCTGTGGTGGTCTCCGTGGAAGGCCTGAAAGCTGCACCAGCAGACAGGAAACCGTAGTCAAATCCTGCCTCCACAATTTATTGTTTGTTTACTTTAGAAAAATCACATGATCCCAGCATGGTGGCCCATTGTATGAACATAGCACTCAGGAGGCAGAGGCAAGAGGATCACCAGACCTGTCTGGGCTGTGTATCAAGACTATGAGGTTATAGGGTTGGGGAAGGGATGTAGTTCTGTTGCTAGAATGTTCGCCCAGCATGCCTGAGGCCCTGGGTTTTCTCTTCATATCACAGAAAGCTGAGTGTGGTGATGCCCACCTGCAAGGCAGCATCTAGGAGGGAGGTCTGAGGAGCAGATGTTGCAGAGGGAGTTTGAGGACAGTTTGGGCTACAAGATGGGGGAGGAGGAATCTATACTTCAGGTTTCCTTATTGGAAGACAAGTGTGTAAAATAACACTTACCTTATATAACTGTTGTGCAAAACCACACCGGTGATGGAGGAAACGCCTGACTTCTGCGGACTTTGATCTTTCAAAAGTCATCAGCCAGTTTGTGCACAGGACACTTTTTGGGCATAAAGTTTGCGGTTAGTTTACCATGAAGTGCTTTCTGTGCATAGTTGAATAGCTTGCTAACTGTATCACCTTGTTAAAGATGTGAATTGCCCCCACAGATAGCAGGCCTTCCTAGCAGAGCCCCTTCTCCTAACCTCCACATCAAGACTGTAAAATGAATCCCTCGGCTTCCCTTCATTTGCTGAAGTTAGGCTGGGGGCTGGACGAGGAGGCCTACATAACACAGGCATGCCCTTTCCCCCAGCGTGTGGGTTAGATGGCCATCACTCAGATTTGGAGTTTTTTCAACACATCATCCCTCTTCAGGTTGTTTATCTGTAAGTCTGTGCTCATCGAAAGGATAAAAATATTTCATGTCTCCAATGGGCTTTGAAGAACTACAGATAGATAACCAGCAACAAAGTTCAGGGAAGCCTTTGGTCCTCAGACTCTCACTTTGGGGTGAGTCTGCCATATGAATAGAACACTCACGTATGAATTCCTAAATATGACATACAATTTGTGGTCTCTTCTTCAGCCCAATGGCACATGGGAGCCACCGTTTTCTGATGAATCCTGTACTCCAGTTTCTTGTGGGCACCCTGAAAGTCCAGAGCATGGCTTGGTGGTTGGCAGTCTATACAGCTTTGGAAGCATCGTCACTTACCAGTGTGATTCTGGCTATGAATTAGAGGTACAGTAACAAATTACTCAGCAAAAAATTAATGTGCTGTTCTGATATGCTTAGGATTCTTTTTAATATTTGAATAAGTTCATTTTACCAACACAGTTCTGAAAACATCCTATTATATTTTGGGTTTTTTTTTTTTAATTCTTTTAACACATTTTGGGAAAATAGTTAAGAAGACTTAGAATTTTAAAACACACAAAAAAAAAAACATGAGCCAGGTGTGGTGACTCACCCCAGTGATCTCAGATACTCAAAGGCAGAGATGGGAAGGTGACAAATTCAACACCTGCCTGGACAACTGTCACCAAAAAAAAAAAAAAAAGGCATTAAAGAAAGGGAGGGTGTGGCTCAGGGGCAGGGTGCTAATCTAACATCTCCTGATTCAATCCAGAGTTCAAAGAACAAATTGGGACTCACCTCATAGACTTGGGAGTTAGGCTTCCAGCGCCCAGTCAGGCAGCTCCCAGCTAGCCCCATTAGGCATCACTATAGCACAGCCCCAACAAGGGGGTGCTTGAGTGAAGCCAGGCCTTGACCAAGAGCGAGCACACAGGCACTGGCAAGCTCTTACCTGAGATCAGGTTCCCCTGTGATATATCTAGCCCGAAACTCCTCGGAACTCGCCTAAGAAAACCCCAACTTTGTCCTTAAGTGACTCCCGACTGCAGCATTATAATCCCGTGGGCAGCACCTGCATCTCCCTATTAGCTGTAACGGGAGCACTGAGGTTGGTTTCTCTGATTATTATCTCTCCGTCCACGCTGTCTAGGAGGGTTGGTGTCAACCACAAGAGATTGTCATCTGGCTTTTCAGGAATCTCTTAGTGTTTGCAGTGGTGTGTGAGGACAGGCTACCTGACGCAGTCATTACCAGTTGGCTGCTAAATGTGTGCGGTGCGGCCCTTTTTTGTTGTTGTTGTTTTGTGTGTGTGCGTGTGTGTGTGTGTGTGTGTGTGTGTGTGTGTGTGTGTGTGAAATCAAAGAGTTGTCATAAGAAAGGGCCATAAAAACTGGAACCAGATTTCTGTGGTTCTTAGTTTATTTCTTCAAAGGATAAAAATATTAAACATGAAAAGGATGACGGCAACCTAATAATACATTGTGACCGGAGAATTTTCCTGGTTTTGAAACTGGAACATTCTTCACCTGGGATTCCTGATCTTGAAATTTCTTAACGCCTTTGGAAACAAAATATACCACAAATTCATGAAATTTGAAGAAGTTGGTAATTTAACTTAAAATGTTGGGGTAAACAGCCTGCCGTTAACTACAAAGCTGAAAGTTTATTAATAACTGTTCTCATTCCAACCAATCGTTAAAATCACCTGAGAGTCTTTTCAAAAAGATTTATGCCCAGTTACTTGGAGAAATAAAAATACGGGTCTATAAGAGAGAGATGGAAAAGACTTCCTGGAAACCCTCATCACCTGAAATAGTGGGAACCTAGAGGGGGCTGGAGAGAGAGCTCGGCAGTTGAAAACAGCAGCTGCTCTTTCAGAGGACCTGGGTGCAATTCCCAGAACCCACATGGTGACGCACAGCCATCTGTAGCTCCAGTCCCAGGGACTCCACCGCCCTTTTCTAGTCTCTGGGCACTGCACACACATGGTGCTCAGACATATGTGCAAGCCAAACACCCACACACATAAAATAAGTCAGTGATCCTTTAAAGGAAACATGGTGCCAACTAGAGGAAGTTTCGAAAGCCGTTTGCGCAGCAATACAGGTGATCATCCCAACCCAGTGACACGCATCAAACAGCACAGAGAGGAGACTCGTAACGACACTGACACACGGTGACCTGGGACTATCAGCAGATGCTGCTGTGCAAACCAGTGTTGAGAACACACAACTGAAGAGGAAGGATTCACTCCTTGAAGGAGACTGAGGACACAGATAACCAGATGCCAAGGGAAGACCAGAATTTGCAATCCCTATGAACTGCTGGATTTAGGCTTTGATTCACTGTGTCTATTGATGTCACGCACACAAACTGGAGATGGTAGCCATTTAGGTCTCTGGATGGAAACAGCTCCTATGTGTCTATGACTTGCTCCCTTCCGGGAAGAAAATGAACTTGGTCTTATCAAGTTCTCAGTCTGCTAAGTAGTATCGGTGACATCACGTAAGACAGGCAGCAGAGGTGTGTCTGGGAACGTCAGCAGAACAGATGACAGGCCCTCCAGACCTGGACACATACATGGACAGGGAAGAACAGGGAAACAGAGAAGGAACTAGAGGTTTAGGAAGGCACGGTTCTTAAAAATATATGACGTTATTATTATTATTTACCGTAGTTATGGTGTTCTGTAGAGGCATGCAGGTAAGTTTTCTGTCAACCTGACACAAGAGAGGGTCACCAGGAAAGACGGAACTCCCGCTGAGAAAATGCCGCCGTCAGCTTAGCCTATACACCTGTCTGACATGTTCTTGACTAATGATAGACGTTGAAGAGCCCCAGCCCACTCTGGGTAGCGTCACCTGGGCAGGTGGTCCTGGGTTTTTCTAAGAAAGCAGAATAGACAAGCCATGGGAGCAAGCCAGAAAGTGGCATCCCTCCATGGTCTCTGCATCAGTTCCTAAGATTAGGTTCCTGCCTTTTGGTTCCCGCCCTGACTTCCCATCATGAACTCTAAGCTGTATACTGAAGTAACCTTTTGTTATTTTAAGTTACTTTTGGTCATGGGGTTTATCACAGGCCTAGAAAGCAAGCTCGGTCAACGGTTTTGCATTTTTAACCAGTATCCGGCCCCCAAGGCTGATGGATGGGAGAGTGGCTCCTGATCAGTTCCAGCAGACTTCTGGGACAGACTGTCTGCGCTGCTGAGGGATCTGAAGGACCCTGGGGCACTGAACTGCTCACCTTGGAAGCTTCCTGGCTTCCTTGGCTGGGATGGCTGCAGGCAAATGACAGTGGCAAGCGCCATCCTCTCTGGTTTGTCCCAAGTCTCTGCGGACTGATTATCATCATCCACTTCCAGGATTCAAATTGCTACCCAAAGCAGGCAAAGCAATCAAGATACCCAATATAAATTATATTGTGTTCTTCTGTGTTAATACAGCCCCGTTAGCGTGAGGCAAATAGATTTTTGTGAGCTATTTGAATCTCAAAAAAAAAAATTTACCATGCCTAAAGAAATGAATTAGGAAAAATATATTTAAAGTGAACTAAAGGATAAATCAAAATAAACAACTGGCGACTGGATTGATTACTTTAAAAATCACCTCCAGCGAATAATAAAATGGACGTTAAGGCTCTAAGGCATCATACAAGAATCTGTGTAAGTTGACTGGAAACTTAGATACAACAGCGGGGGGAAACTCACACTTAAGAAAAAGCAAGGCAGGGAAAGGGAAAGAAAAGGAAAAACTGCATGATAAACATTGCCGGTTACTACGGAGGAAACGAGTGGATTGTTTCGTAGTTGATTAGGAACATAATATAAGTTGGGAATACAGATGGTTCCGTTAAGAGATAACAGAAAAACAGGATCTACAGAAATTATACTCGGGAATCAAAGAATAGTCCCATAGATACATAGCCCTGAAAGATACAGGATATCGAAAAATTCAGATAATTACAAATTATTGTTCAAGAAAGTGATATTGCAGAAGGCAGAGAAGTAAACTTTAGACTTTCCCCCAGATTATTTAAAATGTTAACTACATTGGCCCTTAATACGTTTAGGTGTAACAGGTAAGCCTCATCATTGAAATTTGGATGGGGACTCAAGCTTTGTTTGATGTATCAAGTATTGAAAAGATCAGTGCAACTCAAAATAGTTTTAAACGTACTGAACAAATACACCCTGACATTTCCGACCCACTCTTTGTGAGTCCCTGGTATGGATTATAATTAACTGGCGCTTAAAACAGAAGATAAAGTTAAGTCTGTCGTCACCACGTGATTCTGCCAGGGAGGAATTTTGGTGAAATCGTTTTTTGAGAGTCTCTCAACTTTACAGTACATTCATTTAATAGATTCATTCGGCATTTCAGTACTAAGTCACCGAAGGCCACAGTTAAGATGGCTTCACAGTCCCTTCTTGTCTCTCTATTATGAAACTGGGATCCTGTTCATGACCCTTCTCTGCTGCTCCACAGGGGAACAGGGAACGAGTCTGCCAGGAGAACGGACAGTGGAGTGGGCAGGTGGCCCTGTGTACAGGTGAGTTAAGTGGCACCTAAAGGTCCCAGAAATAGTACCAAGGACACAAGATAACAGCGTGTCTCCATTTTCTTTATATATCCATTTGTGCCTTAATAAATAAACACATGAATTACCAGAGAACACTTAATGGCTTTGGCTCAAGGGCCCCAACCAATTAAGGACCAGAGATTAGCTGGAGTATAGCATAAGATTGCTGGTTCAGCAACAGCACATGGTTTGCTTAGAAACTTGTGTTTATTTGCACTTTTGTGGTATTTTCTGCAAAAATAAGTATAAAATAAAGGCTTAGAACTGTTGCTTGTATATAAAATAACTGGCCCTTAATGACATTATTCTTAAATGGTGCTGGGACATCAGTCAAATAGAGAGCCACAGTTGAGCAAGGTGTTTCAGAAACTCGATTTCTGAGAATAGCCAAGCTTCTCCAGTAGTGTGAGGGTTGGTCTATGTCCACCATTTCTTCCCTCTGTTTCAGCCATATGTGCAGAGGTAGAAGAGGAAAATTAACTCTGTGTCTTTAAGAACCTTAAATCTGTAAGTGAATATTATATGATTGTGATTCAATGAAGAAAATGGCTTTTCTTAGTTCTCAAAAACTTGTGTAAACATTATAATGAAACATTTTTAAAAATTCAGTAATATCTCAAGTCACAAAAATACATTTGTTTCTAACTTGGAGCAGTCCTTAATAACATTTTGTTTTTTAAATTATCCCAGTTTGTTTCTCTTAACTTCAGGTATATTTTATTAATATCTGAATTAAATCACATATGCCAAAATATAGAGTAGTAACAAACATTCTCTATTTATATATCACTTAATTTTTTGCATTTTATATTTCATTATGCATGGATTTTATACGAATGCATTTTATACAAGTTTATCCATGTGTTGAACTTGTATATCCCAACCCCAGTAGCATGCTATATAAACTGCTCATGTTCAAAAAGAGTTTGTTTGTATAGGACACAGGAGTGGAAACAAAGAGGAATCCCACATATCTGTCAACGAACATCTCCAAGGTTTAATGAGTGGTCATTTTTAACTTACTAGTCATAAAAATTTCAAGAAATCAGACAAAACAAATCAGGAAAATATTTTTAAGGTCACCACTCAGAGTAAAACCTCTTGATATCTGCTGTTATATGCTTTTTTTTAGGTATGCTCTAAGCCACAAATAGTTGTGGGGATGTAGAATAGACAGAGAGAATCCAGCCCATAAATCCTCACATAACTTAAGAAATTAGTGTGGTCTTGATCAAGTTTTTTAGCTTTTCTGAGACTCACTTTTTTTTTAAGTGTTATTGAGTTCATCTCAGAATTGCTGCTGGATTTGGAAGGAAAAAATATATAGTACTCAATCAAATTTCTATTTCAGATGAAAAAATTGAATATAAATATGTACCACATAATATTTAAGAAGTATTTATGCTAAAATGTATGTTATTTATAGGACATTCTAATTTATCTGAGAATTCTGTGTTTTTATCTGGCCTTACAAACCAACTGTTATTAAGCATAATAGTAAAACTGGTATCACATAGGAAGTTCACAGCCATAACATCCCTTTATTTCATGCATATGCTCATCTAAACCACTACCACATCCATCACTATTAGCAAAATACATAAAGACAAATGGACTACATAGGACTGGATAGCAATCTTCACATGGAGCATGTGGTACTCCAACAGAAATATACAGTATGTTCTATGTCAATAAATATTATTGTGTTTAATTCATAAGTAGGCATATATATGTATGTGTGTATAGTGGATATGTATGTGTGTGTATATATATATACCATATTACACACACACTACAAAAATAGCTTCAGCAAATATAGTAAGAGAAGCAAAGGAGATGTGGGAAAACATTGAATGCAAGGCTTTATTTTTCCTTTCAGAGAACAGGTGTGAGGCTCCAGCTGAGTTTCTGAATGGCAAGGCTGTCCTGGACAACACCACATCTGGACCTAGCCTGCTGTTTTCCTGCCACAGAGGCTACACCCTGGAAGGGTCCCCTGAGGCCCATTGCACTGAAAATGGAACTTGGAGTCACCTGGTTCCCCTCTGCAAACGTGTGTGTTGACTTTAAGAGCTGTTTTAATCACATTTGGCTTCATAGTTAGCTTCCCACGTGTCTTAAAGGGGAAACACTAGTTGGTGAGAATGGTCCAAGGAAGGCCACCTGTGGCCAGTAAGCACAACTTTATGGGATATTATCAAACTCTACTTTGTATTATGTTGTAACGGCCTTCTAAGAATCAGCTTTTATCAGACTCCTTGGCTGGTTATAAACTCAGGCATTCAGAAAAAATACAAATTAGCGAAAGAATTTTGAAATGAAGATACTGTGAATTCTACTGACAGGAAGAAAGGAGGTAAAGAAGAAGATATGGTTAAAGTCTGATGTTGATATGAGACATATAAATGTGGTAAAGAGATAATTTGACCACCTCAATGAAAACAGTACAAATGAAGTATAACTTGAGAAGGCTCTGGCTATGGTTGTGTACAATGGAGCCTTTAGAATTAAGACGAGCCCTAACCTCAGTGTGACTTATTTTATACCCACCTAAAATCAGAAAAAACTGCAATAGCTTGAAGCCTGTGTCAATGTGGGGCATACACGCGCCCTGAACACAGCTGCGCACTGGCGTCACTTCCTGTGGGTCCCTCAGAACCGTGGGCCACAAACACAACATGAAGGTCTGTTATCTTGTTCCTCACAGAACGGGTCTGAAGTCAGGCTAAACTCACACAGCAATGTCTGATGACTCTCTGTGTCCATCTTCTCTGAAGGATGTTCAGCAAAAGAAAGGAGTTCAGCAGAATTTATCACGCTGTTGACATCAAATATTGAGGGAATACTCAGCGTGGTCCTTGATTTCTTATATGCCTGATCTTTAATCTGCACACATAATTTCACGTGGGGTGAAGCAAATCTGTGCTTAATGTTTGCAGTTCTGACTTGTTAAGCTTTTGCTGAGCGTGGTGAGTTGAGTCAGGAGGAGCATGCGTTTGAGATCAGACTGTTCGAAATTATTTTTTAAAAAATATTCGTTTAGTATTGTCATTGAGAATACTTGTTCTGTGAGCCTCTACTCTGTCTTTAAAGAGATGAGCTAGGAAAAGAAAAGACATCTCAGTAAGCACCTGCCCTGCCTTTTCACAGCAAACCCGTGCCCTGTCCCTTTTGTGATCCCCGAGAATGCTCTGCTTTCTGAGAGAGAGTTTCACGTGGGCCAGAACGTGTCTGTCAAGTGCAGGGAAGGCTTCCTGCTCAGAGGCAACGGCATCATCACCTGCAACCCCGATGAGACGTGGACACAGACCAACGCCAAGTGCGAAAGTGAGTGGATGGGCAGAGCCCCGTGGAGGCCCGCTAGTGTGGAAGGGTCCTCCATTTCTCAGATTTTCTTAACGTATATTTTATTTACTATTAGTGTGGAGAGGGGAGAAGAGGGAGGAAGGAGAGAGGGAAGCGAGGAGAAAGAAGGGAGGTGTAACTTAAAGCATACATGTAGAAAGGAGGTCAGAGGACAGTCAGGGCCAAAGGATCCAGTTCTGATTGCCATACATGCTTCACAAGTACTTTTGCCTGCTGAGCCAGGTTCCTGGCCATGTGAAGTCAGGGGAGGGGGTTGTTTCTGTTTTTAATTAATACTTGATTCTGTTTTCATTACAGCAATGTTTTTTTAATTTTATTTTTATGTATATGAGTGGTTTGCATATGTGTGGGCATCATGTGTGTCTTTGGTGCCTAAGAAGACATATTGGGTCCCCTGCAGTTGAAGTTATAGATAACTGTGAGTCGCCACAGTTGTTGGAACCAGAACCTGGGTCTGCAGGAACAGTAAATGTGCATATGTCAGCACCCTCTATTTAGCCCTGTGAAGTCACTGATTGGTTCATAGTTATCTAACTCTGCACTCTCTTAGTTAACTTCTGCATTGATTCTTAAAAATGACAAAAATATGGTTTGAATACTGAACACTTTTTTTTTAAATGAGTTTTCCAGACCAAATTAAAACCTTCCTGGTTAGGAGAATTAGGATTCACTGAGTCGATGTGTCAAATGTGCTCCTCCGAGAACAAGCGTGACCCTAAGTTTAAAACACAGATTTCCCCCGACATCACCGGCGTCTTCACGTTATCCTTTAATGGGCTGCAAGTGCTTTATGCAAACAAAAATCACCTGAGCCGGTTCTCAACCATGAGCCTGTGTCAGTAGAACTTCAGAAGCTCTCTAGAACACTGATTCTGTGAGGCCAGATAACCTCAGTTTCTCACAGTTCCTGGGTGTCCCCTACAGAGGTTGTTAACGGTATCAATAGGAAATGTCTTGTATGCCAGGCTAGTGGCATATTTTGAGAAGTGCTAGGAACTTTAGGAGGTGAGACCCAGCTGGAGGAAATAGGTCCCTGGGGCAGGACCTTGTTCCCCCGGCCCCTGGCTCTCTCACTCTCAACTGCTGTGAGGTGAAGAATCACCATGGCCACAGGGTTCTGTAGTCACAGGGTTCTGTCCAAGCACAGGGGCCCACCGACCGTGGGCTGAACCATATGGAACCACGAGCCTAGATAAGCCTTTCATATCTTAGGCCATTCCTGGCAGGGATTTTGTTCACAGTGATGAGTAGGCAGAGGGATACTGCTGTCCACGAGCCGTAACTTGACAACTGCTGGCCCAGCACCATGTTAATCCATCCAGGTTACAACGCTGCCTTCTGCAGGCTAACTGTGACTATCTCCTGGGATCTCTTACTCCCCGTTTCCACTTTAAACATCTCCCCGTCCAACATCCTTGTCTTGTCTCCCTTGTTGCCCAAGCTACTCTGCCAACAGCACCCAATGAAAATGTCCACTGGGTTTAACCACATGCAAGGTACGAGGCTACATAACATAAGAATATCTTGCGTGAGATGTAGTCCATCTTCAAGACGTCATACCAAAAGTTTCTCAAGTATGCAGCAGGTGGAGATGAGAAGCAAAGGTGGCGTGGCGGCCATCATGTGGCTCAGCTTTGCTGGGTCTTTGACAAACAGCTGTCCTGCGTTTATGACGTCTGCCATCCCCATCAGATATGGCCCTGCCACGTGCGCATGAAGACCAGGCTGGAGTTCTAGCCTCAGAAATTCTGACTCTGAACTTACAATAATGCCTTAGCATCCTTTAATCTTAGGGTCCTCATTTGATAATAGTAACACTACTGCTCATCTCGTGGGTTTGCATCAGCGGTTTCTCTGGATGGGAAGAGGTACCCAGTCACTCGACTCCCAACTCCCAGAATTTTTAGCTAGTTGCCAGCCGACTGCAGCATTAGACTTTAAAAAAAAAAAAAAGCCAGAAAATTCCACACTATATTTTTAGCTAGGATTTAGTTCCCAGACACTTACGAAATCTACCCCTAATGAATGGGAAAGAAGTAACTGAGCATACATTGGATTTCTCTTTGACCCTCTGGTCCAGTTTAAAGCCACCTGCCTGAAGGGAATGAGGCCAAGTGGCCTCATTCTGCCCACACATCTTCACCTTGGTTCTTGGCTCCCTGATGCTTGCCATTCAGACCACTGGAAGTAAGAGCCGGAAGAGACGTGTGTTTGTTACAAATGTGCCTTCTGTGCATGCCGGATGACGTTCGGTATTCTAGCGTGGACCACGAGTTGCCCTGGAGAGCAGACGGTTCCCTGATTGTTAATCCTCCAGCCTCTTTCATGTTTTCTATCAGCCAGGAAGTCTTTGGATTAAAACCACACATCCTTCCCCCTCCTGACTACCTGCTTCTCATATTAATCCCGACAGACCAGAGATTAGAATTTAATGCACATGAGAATCACCCAGGGCAGGTATGTAAAATGCAGCTTCCCAAGGCAGAAACTTCCAGAAATGTGTATTTAAAACCCCAGATGATTCCCAGGTAGGTGCTTTGATTATCAAACGGCTATAAGCCAGCCATCGGTTCCCTGTGATCTTTCTATAGGCCGTTGTCCCAGTTAGAAACCTTCCCTATGGTCCATATCTGGACAGCTCTAACGTGGTTATATTTGTCTCGATGTTTTTATGGCATGCCATCTATTCTTATGGCACAGCTCACAGGAGGCTCATTGTACCATGTGTCTGCCCTTCCCTACTTATCTGAACAGTGTGGCATTTATTTCTTCCCGGTCTCTGATTTCTCATAAGCATTTCATCTAGCCCAGAAGGAAAAGAAAATATAGAAACATCACACAGATGTCCTATTTCCTCTACTAAATCTTAACAATAGTATGGTAACAAAATGGCCTTTTGTAAGCGGGTCATCTGGTCTGAACACCTGTTAGGTTTACACAAACTAGGAACATGGTAGAATACTGAGTTCAGCCCAGGCCTCAGCGCACACCAGAAGGATCTTGAGACCGCTTATAAAAATCTTCAAAGTGAAAACAGCTGTCCCAATCCTGATTTAAATATACAGCACGTGTACTCTTGAAGAAAGGATGGTTACTCAGTCTAACACAGATGCCCAGAGACACTTTGCAGTCTCAAGAAGGGGTCTTGAATTTCATGGAACTCAGCCACAGGCTGCTGTTGGCATGCATTCATTCTCTAAATACACAGCGAGCTCTGGTAGGGTTGTTACTCTAGACAGTAACAGAACATTTCATAATAGTAACAAACATTTCATGATTGTTCCTCCGAAATGGTGGCTACCATGCCCCTTTCGTCCCTGTGTTCACTGGGAAGTATTCTGTCTCCACCTTCTCTGGCAGCCGCCTCGTTGGCAAGGTCTGAGAGCCCCTCCTTGTTCCCTGCCTCGTGTCTTCCTTGGGTTCCAAACAGCTCAGCCTGGATATTTGAATCACGGGACTAAGACCGTGTGGTATTATGATCTAATTCGACTAAAACGGCAGATTATTCTTTCGGTTCCTAGTATTCTAGACATTATGTAGGTGAAAGAATTTCATCTATGTATTTTTTAATTTATTTATTTCTTTATTAATTAAAGATTTCTGTCTCTTCCCCACCGCCGCCTCCCCTTTCCCTCCCCCTCCCCCAATCAAGTCCCCCTCCCTCGTCAGCCCAAAGAGCAATCAGGGTTCCCTGCCCTGTGGGAAGTCCAAGGACCACCCACCTCCATCCAGGTCTAGTAAGGTGGGCATCCAAACTGCCTAGGCTCCCACAAAACCAATAGGTGCAGTAGGATCAAAAACCCATTGCCATTGTTCTTGGGGTCTCAGTCATCTATGTATTTTATCTATGATCCTTAAACTGATGTCAGTCTCCATGGTAAGGTTGTGCTCAGTCTTGGCTAGCTGGACAGGCTCAATTGTTATTTGTTCTTCCTATAGAAATTTCGTGTGGTCCTCCACCTCGTGTAGAAAATGCCATTGCTCGAGGTGTCCATTACCAGTATGGGGACATGATCACCTACTCCTGTTACAGTGGGTACATGCTAGAAGGTTCCCTGAGGAGCGTCTGCCTAGAAAATGGAACATGGACACCGTCTCCTGTTTGCAGAGGTAAGAGAATATTTGATCATTCCCAAGTGAGGCTGCAGGGATGGGTACACGGAGGTCAACATGACCAACCATCAGTGTGTGGCTTGGCCTTAAATCGGGCTTAACAGCAGCATCATTTTCCAGAACTAATTTACATTTTTGAAAGCCTGCTTGTTTCTTCACAATGGAAACAGGTAACAAGGTCTCCCAAGCACACGCCTCTAAAGGTGCTGCTTTCCTAACAACAACCGAATGGTTTGGGAAACCACAGCTGTGTCATTTGTTGTAAAAGCATTCATTGAAAATCGAGAACTGTGCTACTGAACGGACAGTCTAAAGTGGTCAGACTCAGAGAGCTGCGGAGTGCAGTGTGATTCAGGCCCCGAGGGAAGAGGCAGATAGACATTAGTCAGAGAATATAAAGTTTCAGTTAGTTAAGGTGAGCATGTTCTGAAGATCTGATGCATTTCCTCTGCAGTTAACAGTATTGTGTTGTAGTTTTGCAACTGGAAGGGAGGGATAAAAGGGGGGAGGGAGGGAGGGAGGGAGGGAGGGAGGGAGGGAGAGAGGGAGGGAGGGAGGGAGAGAAAAGGGGGAGAAAGAACTGGTAATTATGTGTGCTAGCAAATAAATGGTAATAATTAGCTCGACTATGCCTGATTTTATAATACACACATAAAACAGGCTATCAAGTTCTGAGTTGTCAATACAGTTCGCATTTGTCTATTTCGCCTCCATAAAGATGAGGCTGAGTGTCAGGGTAAGAGCCAGCAGCACGTGCCCCTCCTCATGTGCTGGAACTCTTCCTCGGTGTTTCATGTCTCCTCTCTAAAGCCTGCATCACTGAGGAACTGTGAACTAGAAATTCTGCACTCTAGTATCAACTCCCTGGAATTAGGAATCACCTTGTTTTCTTTCCAGCTGTCTGTCGGTTCCCATGCCAGAATGGAGGTGTCTGCCAACGTCCAAATGCTTGCTCCTGCCCGGACGGCTGGATGGGGCGTCTCTGTGAAGAGCGTGAGTCTGTCTCAGAATGTTCCTTTGCACCCCATCCTTTGCCGAGACACTGCTGGCTTATGGGAGGTTCTGGGAATGCCTTCGCTGTCTCACAGAGTTGGTCGCCTCAAATCCTTGCTGCAGACCCGAGTGTGCAGGGCAACTCTCAGGGACCACTAGGCTGCAGAAGATCTAGCTACAGTATCTCTGACTTGGAGTTTGCAGTTGCCTCATCCAAAGCCTCACGTGCCTCCTGGCGCTGGCACCAGTATTGTTAGGGGAGGGGCTTGTGACCACTGCCTCGGCGCTGGCTCTCTTCCCTTACCTCAGTTCAGTGACAACCAACCCAGCCTTTGCTACAGTTGGAAGGATTGCAGCATCACAGAGCAATGTGCCTTCCAGGGGACTCATGAGACCACCGTGGCTCTTGGTTATCAGAGAATCACTCCTAATTAACAAAAATAGGGGAAATTGGAAGTCCTAGTCTATATAATACTTAACAAATTAATAGGATTTTTATTCTTACTTAACCTATGCTTAGTTTATTGAGGGTATAAAAATAACTCCTTTGATTTTTTTAATTTTATTATTTGTGTACATGCATTGCAAAGAGCATATGTGGAGGTCAGAGGTCAACCCTGAGGAGGTGGTTCTCTACTTCCACCAGTGGGCCTGGGGAGGGGGGTCAAAATGAGGTCATCAGGTTTGCCAGACAAGTGCTTTTACCTGCTGGGCCATCTGAGTGGCCCTCAATAAGTTGTTGTTTCAAATGATTTTTAATGTCTAAAGTTTACTCTTTTTACTATGTATTGTTATTATTGGTATTATTATTATTATTGATATTGTTATTATTATTATGGTTTTGGTTTTAGTTTTTCAAGACAGGGTTTCTCCTGTCTATCCTGGAACTAGCTCTTGTAGACCAGGCTGGCCTCGAACTCACAGAGATCCGCCTGCCTCTGCCTCCCGAGAGCTGGGATTAAAGGCGTGCGCCACCACCGCCCGGCTGCAAGTTTGCTCTTTTCTATGTCCTCATGTGTAAGGATAAAACAGCTTTCTGTATGGATAGGCCATGCTGAGTCATTGCTGTGACAGAAGTCAAATTAGACCAGTTGGGGCCTTTGTCCCCCTCCACATAAGGCCAACTCTAAAATTTACTCAGTGTGACTTTTTCAGCTGTTTTTTAAGGAAAATAAATGATGGCTGTTATCAATTAATCAAATCAAGTGTTTTCACAAGGATAAGGAAAAAAATGTCATGGTTTTTTTCCCTTCCGTCTTCATTCCTTTTCATATGGGGCTGGCTCCCAGGCTTCAATGCCATAATACTAAGGGTTCAAAGATACTGGGGTACTCCAGCCATAAGCCAGGATTAGCTAGTCTAGCTGGCTGAGCATATGCCTGCCCTTAGTCATAAGGGGAGGGGGGTATCACAGACTTTAGTTTGCAGAGAAGCCAGATTGCAGAGGCTTTAAGATACAGACTGGTTCGGTTGAGCAGAAATGAGACCCGAGAGTCTGTGCTTCTAACCATCTCCTAGTTCATGCAAGGCAATGATCTCACATACATGAAATGTCCTCTGCCTCTTCTGGAGAGGTGATTGCTATGGAAGGTAATGCCTGGCCCTGTAACCGCCAGGCCTCAGTTCCTAGGAAGTAAAGAGTGAGCTGTCGATTACTGCTGAACTATTACAGACAAGAGACGACGGGACACCCCAGCCTCCTCCCAGTCTCGCGTGTAGTTCAAGAAGAAAGCCTGAGGCAGCCGAATCCTCTCACCGTGCTTTAGACAATTCTCAGAAGAAATCTGAAATGATGATAAATGGGGTTTGTTCTGCTGGTGTTGCAGAGACCGAAAGCAAAGTGCTGAGCAAACAGCCGGGACAGCGCCCTCAAGGAAAGAGTGCTTTTGGCCTCCCTGGTTACACCTGCGTAAGGCTCAGACTTCCTCCCGGCTGTGCTTTCCTGGCAGTGGTCATTAGTAAGCCAAGTGCATACGGAAAGCTCTCAGTGAACCATGAGAAGTTTCTCCTCCAGCAAAACAGATTTTGAACATCTAAGCAGATCTGAACACGGGTGCTGTGATCAAATCCTTTGTCAACGCATTTTTATCTGTTTTGGTTTTTAGCAATATGCATACTTCCCTGTCTGAACGGCGGGCGCTGTGTGGCTCCTTATCAGTGTGACTGCCCGGCAGGCTGGACTGGGTCCCGCTGTCATATAGGTAGGCTTTCTTCCATGGTTTCTTCTCTTAGTGGTTTGGTTTCATGAAACCACAGGAGACACCAATGGACTGAACTCGGACTGAAACAACAGAAGGGTACCAGCAAACATGCAGGCAAACCACCCATATACTTAAAAGGCTTTAGGGTTTTTTAAGAAAATGTGATTTTGGCAGCAGCAAGGAATCAGCTGGGAAGTTATAAGTACACTCCACACAAGAAGTGGCAAACTCTAGAGATGTTAAAATAAAAAGTGGCGGCTGTGTGAGAAGCTGGAAAGGCAGAATCAATGCTACTTGATACTGATGTGGTTGGTGGGGGGGAGGAGGGATGATTCTGCTCTTTCCAGTTCGGCCTCGGGGATTGAAACCAATGCCATTTACTGAGCCCAGGGAAACAGCTTGGTGTCTAGGCAAGGAGTGGAACTAGAGGAGTCTGGGACACACAAGGACAGCGGTCTGAACGGCAGACTCATGATAGTGTGGGTTCCCAGCAGACACATCTAGATTGAAGACAGATTTGTATGTCGTCAATAAAAGGGGGGAAGAAACGGTGCTGTACAGAACACACTGGGTATGGGGGGGGAGGGCGGTGTCCCATGGGCACGAGAAGGAAGGAGGAAGTGGTTCCCGCTAACGATGTCTCCAGATAGGGACTACCAAGCAGCGTGCTCCTGAGAGTCACAGTTTCTCAGCTCAGCAAACAGAAAAGTGCTGGGTCTTGGGCTGAGATGCTCGGGTTTTATTTTTTGCCAGGCTTTGTTCTGTTTAGCTCATCCTTTTTTATCTCCCCTCCTCCTGATTAAATTGCAAGTGAGTGTGCCCTGCTGACCCTCTCTTACTCACACTTAGCAAGAGGATCCTGCAAGGGGAACGCCTCCTGTTTATTTCTCTTCTCCCTTCTCCTCTTCACCCCTGGGACTTGTGCCTGGTACCCACTCGGCAGACAGTTCACTGTATTTTATGAAGGACCAGGTTTTTTTTTAATCTGGCTCACTGTGCGAAAGTAAAACTCAAGTCAGATCTCCACTGGCGGTTCCTGTATGGACTCACCTTCCCTTGTGACAGGTTTACCTGGTAGGCAATGTACTTCTATCAGTGTTTAGACTCCATGGTGTTTTAAGGAGCAGACTTGTGCACATGAGGAGTTTGTGGGCTTGTGGAAAAGACACCCATGAAGTCGATCTTTGGGTGCTCTCTAAGGTCTCATCTGTGACTAATTTTAATTTTAACCCTAATTAAGGTTCTCTAATTCTAATTATGCTGGTTTGTTTGTTGGTTGGTTGGTTGTTTTATTTAAAAGAGCATGAGATGTGTCTCCTGGCCAAGCACAAAGGGCTCTTGGGCACCTGTTTTATGTGTCTGAGTGTTTTGTGTGCACATATGTCTGTGTATCTCTTTCAGGCATACAGATGTAAGGTGTGCGAGGGATAGCCAGGGATAGCTCAGTGGGAAGAAAGGGCAGCTCCTACCCATGAGCCTCTGTGGCATCTTTAGAATGTCTAAGTATTGACTAAGTGAATCCATGCATTTTTTTTTTATCATAGCTACTTGCCAGTCTCCCTGCTTAAATGGCGGAAAATGCGTAAGACCAAACCGGTGCCATTGTCTCTCAGCCTGGACAGGACACGACTGCTCCAGGTAAGACAGCCCAGAGCAAGTGCTGAGCTATAATCCCTGGACTGTATTTCAGGGCCGACCGTAGTTCAAGAGCCAGAAGGTATCTCCAGTTGTAGTGTAGACTTGGTTAATCACGAGATTTCGAGGTATTCTCTCTAAACCGTTACTAAATCCAAAGCGAGAAAAGATTAAGTTGGGATAGATGAAGAAAACGAGATCTCAAAAGTCAGCGGTATTGGGCTCCCTTCAGCGGCACATACACTAAAACTGGAGCCATAGGGAGGCTGATGTGGCCCCTGTGTAAAGGGATGGATTTGGAACTTGGGATCCTCCTGCCTCAACCTCCCAAGGCCTGGGGCAGACTTCCATGATTAAAGAAAACAATTCAGGGCTGGTGAGGTGGCTCAGCAGGTGGAGGTGATTTCAGTGAAGCCTGAAAACCTGAGTTTGATTCCTGTGACCATGCGGTGGGGGAAGAGTATTCGGTTCTCCAGGCATGAGCTGTGACACAGGCACACGCACGCACACACGCGTGCGCACACACACACATATGCACAATCACATACGTATTTAAAAACAGTAAAAATATACACAAATGATAAAAATAATATTCTTAAACGTAAAATGTAGAATAAATAATAAATTTAACATATTTTTATTGGAAATGTCCTAGCAAAGTAGGGTATAATGGTGCACACCTTTAATCCCAGCATTCCAGAGGCAGAGACAGGAGGATCTCTGTGAGTTCCAAGTCAGTCTGGTCTATAAAGCAAGTTCCAGGCCAGCCAGGACTACATAGTGAAACCCTGTCTAAAAAAAAAAAATAATACAAAGAGAGGGATGGGGGGAAGAGAGGGGAGGGAGAAAGAGAGAGAGAGAGAGAGAGAGAGAGAGAGAGAGAGAGAGAGAGAGAGCCCCAGCCGATGTTTGAGCTTTTTGTCTACAATAACACTATTAAAGTTGATAAAAATGTTTCCTAAACTTTAATTTTTCCATGCCCCTTCCTTCTCCCGAGGAATGAACCTCATCCTTCACAAGTATTTTTACAGATATGCCTACTGGGCTAAAGTTTACTGTCCCCTCTCCATGAACATCCAGAATTCCTCCCTACCTCAACTTCATCTCTCCTCTTGAGCCATTGGTTTTGTTGTCTTCTTTCTTCAGGAGAAGGAGAAGTGGGTTTTAACACACGCCGCCCCCACCGCCTCTCCGGAAGCAGGGTCATCTCCTCCTGGTAGCTCCTGGAACCCACAGCAAGGAAGGCCAACACGGTGCTTGGGCTTGTGTGTTTTCCAAGCCTGAGGTGGACTTTTTAATTTTGCCATCTATTCTGTTACTCTTCGTGACGTCCTTTCTTACGTGTCTCCATTGTCCCAATACGCTTGCGTTTTCCATATGGAAGTCACATTAAACAGATGCTGCTCCACCCTCACCAGATGTACATACTCTGCCGCCTGCTGAGAAAGTCCCTGGAACACGTTTTTATTCAACTACTTAAAGATAGACTTTCCATTAAAATATATTTTGCTACTAAATAAGACTTTGCTGGGTAGTAGTGTTTCTCTGAGGTGGCTGGGGAAAAAAAGAGGACTCGTGAACGCCCTTCTAGTCCTCTGGCGTAGCACAAGATCGCAAGAAGTGCGTGCGTTAAACAGTTACTAAAGGAGGCCCCCTCCTTTAGTTCTGTCTTGTTTAAAGGTGTGGCTGCAAAGGTTTCTTTCTTCATTAAGAGGGCAACTGTAGCACCCAGTGCCCTCTGCAAAAGCCTGTCCTGGTGGTGAGGGTGAACCTGGGGGATCCTTTTCCACATTGGGAAGTTGGTTAGACCCCACTTTAGTGGTGAGGGGTGGAATGATTGTGATTTATGAGTGAGTGGACTCTGGAAAAGTTCTCAGGGGTGGCTCCTGAGTCTCCTGGAAAGAAGGGGAGAAAAAGGGAGGGAGGGAGGGAGGGAGGGAGGGAGGGAAGGGAAAAGAATCACCGATGGCTAGGAGACAGTGAAGCTGCCTGCGGTTTCCATGACTTCATCTACTCCCATTATTACACCTATTTCAGACTTCCCAGACCTCAGGAAATGAAGCCAAACCCTAGATCTTGTTTTAATATAGGAAATACATAATCATATTGGCTCCATTATCTGGGAGAACTTCTCCCACAAGGCACGGGGTACGCTGTGGCATGGCAGATGCAGGAAAAGAGACAAGGATCTTGCTGTTCCTAGGGTCTCTTAGCCATTGCCTCATTCTCCTGACATCCGCCCACTTCCCATTCTGGTAGCCTGTGGGCCGCTTGTCATTCAGTTTGTCTACAGTCTGTTGGTTTCCATCCAGTGTTCATCTTTCTCCTTTATAATCATAAAAATACAAAATAAAGTTTAAAATCTATGATTAACAAGAAGAAAAGTGGTACCAGCGAGAAAGCCATTGATAATAATACTTGGTTCTCAAAGTACCTACTGATGAAACGCACAGTGTGGCTTCTGTTACTCTGAATAGATTTAAGAGTTTAGAATTTGAAGCTGGAGAGGTGGCTCAGTGGTTAAGAGCACTGTCTGCTCTTCCAGAGGTCCTGAGTTCAATTCCCAGCAACCACATGACAGCTCACAACCATCTGTAATGAGATCTGGTGCCCTCTTCTGGCCTGCAGGCATACATGGAGGCTGAACAGTTTATGATTAATGACCTCTGTGTGTTTCTTTGGGACTGAATGGCTGTGGGACCAGGTGGGACAGAAACCTCTGTCAAAATTCAGTTGCCTAAAATATGTAAGTACAAAGTACATGGAAATCTGCCAATTTTTGATGATAATTATTATTTTTTCTAAAAAAGGAGACTGGATAATTTTTACATCTTAATTCAATTTTTCCTTTTATGTCTGACTTATTTTCAATGAAGATATGTTACTTTTAGAATCAGATTGTTGAGGAAGGCCTGCAAATCCCAGCACTCAGCAGACTGAGGTGGGAGGATCCCAAGTTTGGGGTCACCCTATGCTAGATATCAAATGCCAAGTCAGCCTGGACTACATAATAAGTCTTATCTCAACATCAAAAACCAAAAGCAATATCACATTTATTTATGTTTTCCTCTTCATCGCAAGTGATGATCTCCAGAAAAACTAATTGAAATAAAATCCCCACATTAATATGTATGTACATAAAACTGGTTCATCACAGTCGTAGGCAGATACCATATCATTGTAAAACCTGCCTCTCTTTGGTTTTGTTTAAACACACCTTCAGAAACCCCTGGAGAAGAATTGCAATCACAATGACTATTGGTTTAATATGATGTGGGAAAGCCTAGCCTGGTGGTGCACAGCTGTGTGCAGAAGAGGAAATGGCCTGATGGTTCAACTACGGTATTTATAAACCAAGCATTAAAACCAACCTGGAGCTGCTATCCTGTGTACTATATATTCTCCAGGTAAAGGGTTCCACAAGAGGTAGATACTTCTGTATTCTCACATTCCCCAGCCATGGCCTACTGTAATTACTTTCTGGGCCTTCCCTAGCAACCAGCATGACAACGGGCCGTGGATGGTGGCTACTACAGTAGTCTCCTCCTGGATGCTTTAAGGCAGTGACAGCAACCTCTTCCTCTTTCCATTAATGTTAGATAAGCCAATTCGAGGAAACCTAGGCCCAGTGCCTGGGTTTGTGCAAAAACCGAATGAGAAGTCAGTCCTGACGAGACCATGAAAAGCAATGACCAACATCTCAAGGGCCACAGGGCTGCGGGGAAGCACAGTTACGTGTTCTCAGCTCCAAAGCCACTTAAAATGCACGCCTTTCAGGGCACGACACTTCTGAATGCTTCAGATTTTTGAAGAGTGAAGCCACAGCAAACAACTACCCCTGAAAAGAAGGCTGCTAGGTGTCTGGCCAGTTAGAACCCGACACTACTGGCCTCCCCTTATGAGGAGCAGTGGATCCTGCCCGCTCCTCGCCGAAACCTTTACCAAGTAAATTTTCTCATAAGCCCTAGGTCATCTAATTACACACCACTCCTTGGTCAGTCATTAAGATTTCTCCTTTGATCGTGTCCACTGGATCTCTGCTCTCCCAGCAGGGCTCAAGGGAGACTAAGGCTTCTTTAAGCTAAAGTACATCCTATCATGGACGGTAAGAGGGAGCCGAGTCAAACTAGAAAAACCTGACCCAGGAGACTGAGGCAAGAACCACAAAAAGGCTACCTGTAAGAACACCACATTCTCCAACTGATTCCTGTGGCTGTACGTCACGGTTAGAGGGGAGATACTCCAGAGTCTTTCCCGGCACACTTTAAAGTTGGAGTTCCGCTTTGTCTTTTAAAAAGCTTTTTTTTTTCCTGCACCATCATCTAAAGCTGCGAGGAGCTGAAGCTCCGTGGATGCCTGTCATCTTATAAGTAACCAAATAAATCTTAGTCTGTTTTCCTTGTTCCTGCCTCCTGCCCAGCCCTCCACGGCCGGTCTCGGCACATCCCAGGGAGCTCCTCTGTTCACTAAGAACTCAGAAGCAATGAGGAATCCTGCCCACATGACCCACACCCAACTCAAGGGCAGGCTCGCCCAGCCCATCCCAGCGCCCTTTCCAGGGACTGAACCTTAGCTTGGCCCTGACCTGGAGGTTTCAGCTTCGTGGAAGGTTTATTAGTATGGTAGTTTGTTATTAAGGCCTATGTGTGTGATGTTTGCAAAAGAAAATGTCCTAATCACAAGGCACCTCTGCTTTAGGAGAGAGTCCCACCAAACACCCGCAGGCTGTGATTAAAAGACAGCCCACGTGTTCCCGAAGTCATGACTGGGAAACAAAGAGGCACTCATGATGAATGGCTTCCGGTCTCTGACCATGATGGCCTCTCATCCGGAGGTATTTCTCTTACTGGTACCACCTCGCTCTACCCCCTGGTCCCACCTAGCTCAACCATCATGTCCCCATCCCTCACAACACCCTCCCTACATATGTTCTAATGTGGGTGTGTGCTTGTGTGTTTATGTACATGTGTATCCATGGACCTGTGAGGGTTAGAGGACAACCTTGGAAGTCACTGTCCTGTTTTTGAGACATGGTCCCTCACTGGCCTGAAACTCACCAAGTAGACTAGGCTGGCCCTTCAACAGGCCACAGGGACCCTCCTGTCTCAATTTTCCCCAGTACTGCGATTACAAGCACTCACAACCACGTCTGGCTTCTTTGGTGTGGGTTCTGAGGCATAAACTCAGATCCTTCAGCTTGCAAGGCTTAACTGGCTGAATTATCTCCCCAAGGACTGTTGACCTTGCTGTGTGTGTGTGTGTGTGTGTGTGTGTGTGTGTGTGTGTGTGTGTGTGATATTGAGATTCAGGAGAACCAATAAGTCTGATATTATCACTCTCACACATACACCACGAATCTATTTATTACTATTCAAACAAGTCCATGACCTTGGTGCTGACTCACTGCCCAGCTTGCTAACCAAACAGCCACCAAAATGTAGACCTAGACCCCAGAAACAGATGCCTATGGTACAGCCGTGATTTACCGCTATCTTACGAGAGTATCCTGCATGCTGGCATGGTTGCTGGGAAAACAGGGGTACGCGGGGACTGATGCCTTGCTCCGCACAGGCTGCCAAGATCGTCGAGCTGAAAAACCATCAGTAAGCAGGGGTGGACACAGGCAGGCACGCCCCGTATCTGAATCTGCCTCTCGTGTGCATCTTAAGAGCGCTATTCTATTTTGCTAACTCTGTAGTTCCACTGAAGGCAAAGCAGATGTTCACACATAGTCGGGCTTCTCCCCATCCAAGCGGCAGGACTGGTCTTCATGGTCTAGTCCCCCGAACTAGACCCCCCCCCCCCCCCAACTGTCTGACCGCAAGAACCTCTTCCAAAACGCAAATGCGCACTGGCTGAGAGGCAAAGCTAACTAGACTACAGGTGCTCCTCCTGCAGGCTGCTTGTTCATAGATTTCCACCATGTTAATACACCTCCTAAGATTTCAGGATCCAGAGCCACAAGTGGGGGTACGAAAGTGTGTGTAGGACACACGAGGGTGGAGGAACAGTTAGCTCTCTCCATTCCTGTCGCAACTCCTCACAGCAAACTCTCGCAGACAATTCTTTCTGGTTTCTCCCCTGGTTTCACAGTTGGATACATTTAAATTCAGCTATTTGACTTGTTTTGTTCCTGCTGCCTTCTCTTACATAGTATCTCCACACCCCTGATTTCCCGCTGACCAGTAAGAGTTGGCCCTCCAGTCGGGTCCAGAGCTGTCACTCACCTGACTCGCTCCCTGGAGAGGATCATTGCACCGTCTTCATTCCTTTATCCTTGGTAACACTCGGTGTCTAATAAACAATAAGCACCGAGGAAGAGAAATAAGACTTAGGGGAGAAATACGTCATACGATTTAGGGAAAAAGGTTCAGAGGAGTTTGTAGGAACATTACATCATAAAAAAAATGGAATAGTCTAGATGTTTTTATGTTTATATACATACAAACACAGCAGATATTTTTTAATGAAAGAAAGTATTACAGTTCCAGAGGGAGACTCCATAATAATGGGGAGAGGCAT